TGTAATATGTTCCAAAAACAGTGAAAACTGTTGCGTTACTTGTAAATACGCTTGAATTTAAGTGTTTCATCACCTTGGGTGCACTTCAAAACTTGTTCGATCTCCAAACAATCGACCAGAAGGAAGCACTCGAAAATAAATATACTTCGAAGCAAAAACTCGCTCAAATGCAACTCATACTTCACCTGTGCAGCAATTCGACACTCCACAACACGTTCGTTGAATTGTGACGTTGCAGCTTTATTCAGTGTAGCACCACAGTGCACTACGGCAAATAACGCACTTTTCGGTAATTCAACAGCTGTCCACTTGAGTGGATTAAACTCAATGAACATCGCATTTCCCTTAACAGCCAATATCTCAATCGCTTGATCCATACCACCGCCTTCTGTTCCTATCAGATGTTCGGCACGAGCACATAATTCAGCTAATTCGGCCTTGAAACCATACTTCATCATTGCATATAATGACAGTTGAACTGCTCAAACTGCTATTAAACTGAAGCAATAATATCGTTTTTCATTTAAGATCACTGAAGAATTGATTCCATTTCTTCTGACAGTTACTTCATTCAGTTTATGGAGAATTGTTCTGCTTTTCGACCAAATAAAGGCAAATGAGTAAATTTATCAAACCAAATGAGTGCATCATAGAATATTTTATTATTAAAGTATGAGTATTCGTTCTGATAAACGTTCCCCTATCATCGATGAGTGAACCACAATAAATGGTTTCTGTTCAAAAACTTCGAAAATTTTCGATGGAATTCGCGATGCCCACACCGGAATTATGATTATGGATTTGATATTTTGTCGTTGTCACACTTAAGAGATCAGTTGCTCGCTCACCTTATTAACAACTTCAAATATTCGAGAAGAATGTGTCGCTAATGTGGCAAGCGCAGATGCGCATACAAGTGAGCTTGAACTCGACAGACCGGCACATGGAGGAATGGAACCTGGATTATAATCAAACATGAAACGATTGAAACAAAATCTAAACGCAACTATTCTCAGCTTCTATGAAATCTAATTGTTATCAACTTTTACTTAAATGATTCTCAACGTTATAACAGAATAAATGAACACATTCGGCACTCGAGATGACATTTCAATTGCTCGATAAAATTGCTTAAAATGTATTTGATGAAAA